GTAGTAGTAGTAGTAGTAGCAGACGTAATAGTAGCAGTAGCAATAGCAGTAGCAGTAGTAGTAGTAGTAGTAGTAGTAGCAGTAGTAGTAGTAGTAGCAGCAGCAGCAGCAGGAGTAGTAGTAGTAGTAGTAGTAGTAGTAGTAGACTTAATAGTAGCAGTAGCAATAGCAGTAGCAGTAGTAGTAGTAGTAGTAGTAGCAGCAGCAGTAGTAGTAGAAGTAGTAGCAGCAGCAGCAGCAGCAGCAGCAGCAGGAGTAGTAGTAGAAGTAGTAGTAGTAGTAGTAGTAGTAGTAGCAGCAGTAGTGGCAGTAGTGGCAGTAGTGGCAGTAGCGGTACTAGTAATAATAGTAGTTGTTGTAGTTGTAGTAGTTGTAGTAGTAGTAGTAGTAGTAGTAGTAGTAGTAGTAGTAGTAGAGGAACAATCATTTTTCTGTCGTCAAAGGCCGCGGACGTGGTAGAGGACGCCAGGGCGCCCACCCCGGCTCACAAAACAAGAGACGTCAGCGCTTTATGGATGCTTTCAGAACGAGAGTTCTTGGGTTCTCAGGCTTCGGGTCACCTGCCCTGCTTTCGGCCTGGGCTTTGGATGAACTTATCTGCCACGCATCTTTCTGCCAGCGAATCTATCTTCGACTGTGAGTCTTCAGCAGATGTCGAGCCGGGGCAAGTTCATCATCCACGGGTCTAGTTGCCATGCTTCTGACTTCCGGAACTTGCTGCAGTACTCCTCAAACTTTCAGCTTAGATAGCACTACACCATCCTAGCATATCCCTGGGCCACATGCATGCGAAGCAACCCCCCGGCACTTCGCTTCTCATTTCCGCAGATTGGCAGCCTTGCGCTTCCAAGGTGCCCCTGGTTCCGTGACGAAGTCGGCATCGTTACCACCTGTACCTGAGAGCAAGGCATGTTCTGCAAAAGTAAATCAGGTGCTGTCCTGCAGCCAACTCCAAACAAGCAGAACAGCCGAAAGCCCTTAAGCAACCGCCTTTCTGACAAGCCAACAGGTAGTTTGGCAGGACTTTCAAGGTTTGGAGCCGTCGACACTTGTGATCCTAAGCAACTGCTTCTGGCCGTTTTCGTCAATCCAGCGGGGCCCAACGTGCGAGAATAGAGTTTGGGGTTCACATATACTGTAATTCTACCGGGGAACCCTCAGGAAAAATATTACGTAGATGTTGTTAGTCTTGGTGCGGTTTGGAAGTGTTGTTGTGAGTGCATCTTGGCTTGTTTTTGTGAGCACGAGTCACGACCTGCTGCTCCTAGTGCGTACCATTACGCCTTATGACTCCTGGCGGTTGTTTGTGTGAACGAGCTCATCTAGGCACAAGGGGTTGTTGGCGCCGATCATGGCGTTGGACCGGGCTTCCCTTTGTTGTTGCTCCTACTTCTGACCAGCATGTGGGAATTTCCGAAAATTAGGGGTACCTTATTTTGGGGTCCTTATAATAAGGAACCTATTAAATAGGGTACTATATTAGGGTACCCTATTTTTGGAAACCCCCATGTGCTCTGTACGACCGTAGCGGCCACTGATGCAAGTCAGGGTCGATGCAACCACTGGCCCCAGCGTCAAGATACAGCCTACAAACACTGTCGCATGAGGTTAGGCCATAGCTAACAACCACTGTCTTGATAAACGCGTTGGAACCGCACCCCCACGACATGGGGTCTTGGAGGCGGAAGTTGTGGTTTTGGGTCTTGCGTTTAGGACAAGTCTTACGTTCGTGTTCATGGCGGATGATTAAGCTGGTTCGATGCAGGCCTTTAGCTAGGAGTACCTACACACACGATCAAGAACTCATGCGCCGGTCCTTCTGCTTGAAGTTCTCTCTGATTGGCAGGCCAGTCCTGGAGGGCGGGTCACCGCGCGGGATGCTCAGTGAGACGAAAGCCTCAGAGCTGTTCAAGGCACTTTGTCTGGCCATGCTGTCCGGAACACTTGATGTCCGTAAAGGTTGAAGCTGAAAAATCAGACACCACCAAGTCCTAAACCCTCTAACTACGCTAAACCCTCGAAGCCTCCTCTGAGCTCAGGCCTTCAAACCAGCCCAGTGCTGTGAGGTGGGGCTGTGGGTCTCAGGATCCTCTCAGCCCCTGGGGTTAGGGTTACCCTAACCCCCCAGGTACCTACTGTATAGGGCGCTAGGGGCTCTAGTACCCTATATACTAGGTACCTG